TAGTTTAGTTTTCATTAAATTTAATTGCAAAAAAATACGTTCAACTGCTGCATTTGAATGAGGAAGCAATAAAAACATCTATTTACTGTCAAAGTAAAGTAAAAAAATACAGAAATATAGAATAAAAATGAATGTTTTGAAAGGAAAGGTATTAGGATTTCATGAATGGTACTAGGAAAATGGTGTTGGTATCTTGGTACCGGAACAAGTAAAAAGGTACTAGATTAGTACAAAAGTACTAGGTAGAACAACACCTGGTACAAAAGTAGCCAACTGCTCCAGCAGTTGGCTACTTTTGGGCTACTTTTTAAAAATTATTTGGCTACAATGGCAAAAAACATCTGGCAACACTGGTCGAGATTGTCCTTTGTCTCGGAGTTCTTGGTTTCGTCAGTTGGATTTTGGTGTACACGAGGTTGTTTTGTCGACGATATTCACGCTGATTCTGGACTATAAGTAAGTAGATTGTTGTTATTTTGGGGAGGCGAGCGGGTTAGAATTTCTAGTCTGATGGGTGGACTGGCACTTCAAATGATTAGAACGGTTGAGGAGTCACGTGCGTTGGAAATCTTCGGCTTAAAACGTTAAAGTACTGTAGCACTTTTCTTTGATTAAAACATTAATAAAAGTTAATAATAATGGAAAAAAATAATCACTGAGGCCCTTATAGAGGTATATGGAGGTTACATATATTTATTCTTACTCTCTCTCGGATTTAAAATACTAAATTTAGGAAAAAATTGGAAATACAGTATATAGAAATGATTCCGTTCGTTGGGAAAATATAAATTTCGGAACGTCTAACAAAGGAAAAAAATTAAAATGGTGGTTGTCGAGTGTCGAACAAGGGCTTAATAGCTTTGAACAATAAGTTTGTGTGCTATTTGGGTAGAGTCGCCTCGAGGAGCGATTTCTCGGGAAGTGCTTGGTTGGGGGTCGTTGTTTCTGTTGACTTTTTCTTTCGTTGAGGGGGATGTTTTCTGGTTCAGTTTCTGTAGGGCGCGGTTGAGGTGGTGACTGACGTTTTTTCTGTTAAAGGTATCGACGAATGATATAATAAAGGCAACATCCTAGAACACTAGTACCCAGGCAACTTGTGAATACCGTTATGACGGTTGAGAGGTAGGATGAAGATGTTGATTTAGTTGTCATTTGTAATAGGTGATTGAGGTCATAGGTGACGTCTGATAAGGATCGGTCTGCTAACTTGATATCGTAATCGGAGTTTAATTTTTCCTCTTCTTGCTTTTGTGGTTCTAGGAGACGTTTTTGGAGGATTTGTGGTTCCGTTTGGTTTAAAAGTTGTTCAATTTGGGGAACAACTAGGTGTTGTGCGACCTCTAGTTNTACAAAAGTACTAGGTAGAACAACACCTGGTACAAAAGTAAACCAAAAGTAGTCAACTGCTCG